GGGGGAAGGGCGGGAGTGCGGTGAGCAGGCGCAGCGTGGGGGAAGGGTGGGAGTGCGGTGAGCAGGTGCAGCGTGGGGGAAGGGTGGGAGTGCGGTGAGCAGGTGCACTGTGGGGGCCCCTAGAGCACCTGAGCCCTACCGAGGAGGCTCTTGCGCCTCCACATCAGGCCGCACTGATCCCCTGACCCCCCCCTTTCCTGGTTCTCAGCATCAAGCGTCTGCTGATGTCCCAGGCTGACAAGATGACGGCGGATGAGGTCTGGCGCCCGACTCCCCTGCTCGCACAGGCCTCTGCCAAGCCCAGGAGGGGAGGGAAGGGCTCCCGGGGTCAGCTGGGGGGGACGCTGGGCCGGAGCGGCTGCAGCACCGCGGTGGGACCCAGGACACCAGAGGGGCGGGAGAGGGGCTCCCGAAAGTGCCCGTTTGAGGGCGGGGTCAGCGGCTGGAGCGTCTGTCCTGGCCTTAGGGGCGGGGCTCACATCTAAGCCATCCCGCAGCCACCCCCACCCCCGACCCTCGACCCCCGCTTCCAGCCCCAGCGCCACCTGCCAGAACCCCCGTCCGGCCCACACCCCACACGGTCCTCCCCGCCGCTGCTGAAGGGCCCCACCCCCCCCCCTGGCCCCCCCCGCCCCCGCCCCCCCCCCCCCCCCCCACCGCCCCCGCCCCTGCCCCCCACCGCCACCGCCCCCGCCCCTGCCCCGCACCAGCACCGTCCCTGCCCTGCTCCGACACCGCCCCTGCCCCTCACCGGCACCGCCCCTGTCCCCCACCGGCACCGCCCCTCCCCGCTCCGACACCGCCCCAGCCCTGTGTCCCACCTCCCGCGGCGCAGAAACCACACCGGCCGCTGCGGTTTGCGCCTGTAATTCGCCGGCAGGAAGCCCCCCGCCCCGCACGGGCCTGAGCGTCGCCCCCATCCCGCGGCAGGTGGACCAGATGTTCCAGTTCGCCTCCATCGACGCCGCCGGCAACCTGGACTACAAGGCGCTGAGCTACGTGATCACCCACGGGGAGGAGAAGGAGGAGTGAGGCGCGGCCCCTTCAATAAACCTGGACGTTGGGCCCTGCCTGCGAGTCCGAGTCCGCTCGCGGGGGTCACTAGGCGGGGGCAGGGCGGGGGCTCGGGGGCTTCTGGACCCTCTACCGAGGCCACATCCCCTGCGCTCCGGAGTTGCCGCGCTGTGCCCAGGACCCCGTCCCGTCCCGCGCCCCCTCCGTCCATCCCGGGCCTGAGTCTGCACTGCCCACGGCCGCCCTGCCTAGTCCGGGTCCACACAGCATCCTCCGTGGTCCGCGTCCACACACGGGGCCTGCCGGGTCCTCGTCCACACAGCAGTCGCCCGCTCTCTCAGACACGCATCAGCCTCGGGGGCTCTCCCACGCGTCCTGAGTGCACCCAGCTTTCTGGGTGGGCCGGCGCAGCCTGGGGCAACTGAGCCTGCCTCCCCTTCACGCGCCCCCAGTCGGTCTGCGCAGGGTTCTGGGAGGGCGAGGCAGGGCCGAGAAGCGGCCCCAGGAACGAGCTGTCCCTGAGCTTCCTGCAGCTTCCAAGCTGGGAGCGCCATGCTGGGGCCTCAAGCGGCGGCTTCCGGGGGGCACACCCGGTCCTCGGCGCCTGGGCGCGCATTCTGGGTGGCGGGGGACCCGCCGGACTCGGCCTGCAGGCGCCGGTATGGGGTGTGGAAGAAGAGCACCACGATGCAGCTGAAGAGGGTGCAGAGGCCGGCCATCAGCAGCAGGGACACTGGGGACACACGGCACAGCTGTCCCCACAGCCACGCCCCAGGGCCACAGATGGGCAGAACCCGATGCTGGCCCATGGTGACCCCAGCACCCCTGACCACAGACTGACCCCAGAGAGCCCACCCCCAGCCCCTGACAGCCCCCAGAGGTGTTTGCAGAGCCAGGTCCTGAAAGCTGGGAGCTCTGAGGTCACCAGCAAGGAGACACGAGTGTGCCAGCCCCACCTCTGATCTCTGCCACACCTGTCCTGGCTCACCTGTCCTGCTCCTGGGGACTCCCTGCTTGGGGCTCACCTGTCCTGTTCCCCCAGGACTCCCAATGTGTGACTCACCTGTCCTGCTCCCGGGGACTCCCCGTGTGGGGCTCACCTGTCCTGTTCTCCCGGGGACTCCCCGCGTGGGGCTCACCTGTCCTCCTCCCAGGGACTCCCGTGTGGGGTTCACCTGTCCTGTTCCCCGAGGATTCCCCGCATGGAGCTCACCTGCCCTGTTCCCCCGGGACTCCCCGCGTGGGGCTCACCTGTCCTGTTCCCCGAGCACTCCCCACGTGGGGCTCACCTGTCCAGTCAAGTGCATCCTCCCCATGCACGCAGGTGGAGAAGGACGGCTCCGAGCGTCGCACAGTCAGTGCCGTCAGCACCATCATGATAAGCATGCCCTCAGCCTGCCTGGACACACAAGGCTCTCAGCCTCCACAATGGCTGCACTGCCCATCCCCTCAGCCCCCCACGGTACTGCCCATCCCCTCAGCCCCCCATGATGGCTGCACTGCCCATCCCCGTCAGCCCCCCACTGCACTGCCCACCCCGTCAGCCCCCCACTGCACCGCCCACCCCGTCAGCCCCCCACTGCACTGCCCACCCCCTCAGCCCCCTCCCACTGCACTGTTCACCCCTCAGCCCCCCCCCACTGCATCACCCACCCCCAGCGCCCCCCTGCTGCACTGCCTGCCCCTCGGAGCCAAGTACTACTTTGGGAAGGGTTGACATCAGGACTGTCCCTTTTGCCACCACCCTCCAGAAGGCAGCACGCAGCTCGGTCAGCACAGGCCCATCAACTGGTCCAGGCTGCACACAGCAGGAGCTCAGAACCTTCTACCAGAGCAGGCAGGATCCCACCTCCCCGAAAAGGGGCCTGGGCCACATGGTGCCACCCCAGGGGGCTAGGGGTGAAGCAAAAGGAGTGTCTCTGGGGTACAGCAGGGGCAGATGGACACTCACCCCAGCACAAAGACCAGGCCCGCAGCAGCCCCCTCGCCCACGGGGAAGGAGCACTCCACTGCCAGCTCTGTGGCCACGGGGGCCACCGAGAAGCCGAAGAGCCCAAGCAGCGAGCAGGTGGCAGCCAGGGCGAGGGTCTGTCCCCGCAGCTGGGACACCTGGGGGCAGCGGAACGGCCGGCAGACGGGCAGAGGGGGTGGCCATCAGAACTGGATCTGGCTTCTCAGGGCGCAGGGCGGGAGAATCCATCCCACCCAGGGGCCATCCCGGCTGGCAGAGGCCAGGCCTGAGAGAGTCCAGACCTCTGTTCCAGCCAAGCTGACAACTGCCCTCTCCCAGCCTCACCACCCACCCACCCCCCTCAGGGTGGTCTTGGCTTGAGGAGCCCCTCACCAGGGCAAAGGCCACGCAGGCCAGAGAGGTCAGGCACAGGCTGATCTTGGTGGCCTCAGTGAAGTGCTTGGTCCGGTCCACGTAGAGGCCGAGAGCCAGCGCGCCCAGAATCCCAAACACAATGAAGAGAGCTCCACAGAGCCCAGAAAAGCCCTGGAGGAGGCAGGGAAGGGCCGGGCCCCGAGGGGCCGTGTTATCTTCAGGGCACACCGTCGGGGTAGGGGGCTCAGGGTGGGGCCATGTGCTGTCCCCAAGGCCCAGACCCGGCAACAGAGGCTCCAGCCACACCGCTGGCTGCCTGCCGGGATGGGGTTTCCTGCCCTGTGTCCCCGCCCCACCCCAGAGCAAAGCAATGGCTGAAGGGAGGAGCCTGTCACCGCAGAGGCCCCCTGGGGTGCCTGTGGCCAAGGTGGAAGCATGCCCCCAATCCTACAGCAGGCACTGATGCCAGAGGGCAGAGGGCAGCCGGAGATGTGTGAGCAGAGCAAGGCCCTCCTGATGCATGCCTGGATGCCAGAAGGTGGCCCTGCCCTGCACACCCCCGGGGGGAGGCCTTGTGGGGAAGGGGCACTGGGAGCTCCAGGGCCCCCACCTTCCCATCCACAGAACACCGTCAGCTGAAGCTGTGCCCACCACCTGCGGACATAACGTCCCACACGGCATCTTGAGAGGCCCACAGCACAGGAGGGTGTTCATGTGGCCCCACCAGGGTTGGACACCAAGCACCCCGGAGGCTGCAGTGATTCTGCAGCCACACAGGGTGGGCGACAGAGGCAGAGCCTCTGTGGTGGGGCAGGGCTCACGCTGGAGTAGCCGCTCGCACAAAGGATCTGCTCCAGGAGGGCTGAGAAGCTGGAGAAGATCCCGATGCCTCCCCCAAAACACACAGCCAGGATGACATAGGCCTTGTTCCTCACGAGCTGCAGGGAAAGAGCCTCTCAGCCCCAGAGGCTGGGGGCCCTTCACAACTCCATCCTCTCCTCTGTCTCTTGCCCCGCCCCCAAATCCACCCCACCCCAGGGATCCCGAAGCACGGACCAGCTTGAGACCGTCCAGGAACTTCTCCGAGGTGGAGCTGGCAGCCCCAGCAGAGGGCGGGGTGGGGGGCACGCTCTCCCAGAGGCAGGTGGTAGACAGCAGGCAGGCAACGCCAGCAGGGATGGCGTAGACACCAAGCTGGGGAGGGTGTGCGTGTGCACAGGTGACCACGCAGACCGGCACCCACACACTGCAGCCCCGCCTGCCCCAGGGGCCACCCCCAGCTCCTCCTGCCCCCCAGCTGGCTGCCTCCAACCTCTGTTCTGCAGCCGTCCTCCGTGAGGCCCAGGCTCAGAGGGGCCTTCACTACTCATGTTCACGTACTCCAGGGGCTCAAGGGGAGCCCTGGCTGCCAACATGCCCCTCAGCGGTGACACCCTCCCGGCCGACGTTAGCTTGGCACCCCCAAGCTCCAGACACATCGCACTGCTGGGTACATAGCCCCCTGACAGGCCTGAACACACAGACACAGGTGGGTGCAGAGGCACACGTGCACACACATGCACACGTGCACACACTCAATACATATGCACAAGAAGAGACATACCACACACACCCGATGCACATGCACGAGCATGCACACACTAGTGACAGACACACAATACTCGTGCACACACAGACACGCACACACCACACACAACACACACAGGCACACACTATGCATGTGCACAGACACACAGACACATGCACACACACCACACAATACACACAGACACACAATACACATGTGCACATGCAGACACATGCACACACACCACACAACACACACAGGCACACACTACGCATGTGCACAGACACATATGCACACACCACACAACACACACAGGCACACACTACACATGTGCACAGACACATGCACACACACCATACACAATACATACAGACACACAATACACATGTGCATACACAGACACATGCACACACCACACAACACACACAGGCACACACTAAGCATGTGCACAGACACACAGACACGTGCACACACCACACAACACACACAGGCACACACTACACATGTGCACAGACACACAGACACATATACGCCACACACAATACACACAGACACACAATACACATGTGCACACACGGACACATGCACACACCACACACTCAACACACACGGGCACACACTATGCATGTGCACAGACACATGCGCACCCACCACCCACAACACACACAGGCACACACTACGCCTGTGCACAGACACATGTGCACACACCACACACAACACACACAGGCACACACTACACATGTGCACAGACACACAGACACGTGCACACACCACACACTCACACAGAGGCACACACTACACATGTGCATAGACACACAGACACATGTGCACACACCACACAACACACAGACACAAATGCACACATACCACACACTGAACACACACAGACACACCACACACAGGCACAGGAACAGAGACACATCGCTCACACCACACACACCTGATACACACAGGCACACACAGAAATATCACACACTGGCTAGGCGCAGCGGCTCACGCCTGTAATCCCAGCACTTTGCAAGGCCAAGGTGGGCAGATCACAAGGTCAGGAGTTTGACAGCAACCTGGCCAACATGGTGAAACCCCGTCTCTACTAAAAGTACAAAAAAAAAATTAGCTGGGTGTGGTGGCATTCACCTGCAATCCCAACTACTCTCGAGGATGAGGCAGGAGAACTGCTTAAACCTGGGAGGCAGAGGTTGCACGGAGCCGAGATCGAGCCACTGCACTCCAGCCTGGGCAGCAGAGTGAGACTCCTCAGAAAAATAAATCACACAAGCATAAGGACACAGACACGCTTGGGCACAGGACCACACAGACGTGCGTGCAGACACGCCACACACGCCACGCAAGGGCACCTCCTGACCCTCACCATTAGTGGAATGTCCTCGCCCTTCTTGACCAGTGCAGGGGACAGCACGTTGGCCACAAGGATGCCCAGGGGGTTCGCTGGGTAGGCAGAGGCACAGGGAAACACATCAGCTTTGTGTGGCCGGCCTCATTGCCAGCGCACAGGCAGAACCTTCCAGGCCCAAGCTCCACACCCTGGCTGGAGAGCCCAGGGAGCCAAGGATCTGTGCTCGGAGCCAGAAGGGGCCCGGGGTGAACACGGGCAGGTGGCCTCCCTCCCTGGGAACTCACACATGGTGGCCAGCATGTTGGCCGTGGCTCGCTGGTGCTCTGGGAACCACAAGGCAGCCAGCTTGGCCGGAGAGAAAATGACCAGGGTCTGGGCAAGGGCACAGAGGCTCTGGCCGCCCATGAGGAAGGCAAACGGGTTTCGGGTCCCAGCAGCCACACAGGGCACGATGCGTAGCACACTCCCTGCAAAGTTCAGCCACGCGCCCAGGATGGTCTACGGGGACGGGATCAGGGACGCGGTCAGGGATGGGTCAGGAATGGAGTCAGGGATGGGTCTGGGGACGGGTCAGGAACTCTGCCGCCAGTCAAGTGCCCATCCCGCCCTCCCCGCACCTGGACCCCCCACCGCAGCCACCCCAACAGCTCTGCTGGGCTCCTGAGCTGCTGGGACTGGAGGGCTCTGGTCTGGGGAGGAGGTGTCGACTCTCATACCCAAATGCAGAGGCCCCTGCCCTGTCCCAGAGCGGCCCGTGGCGTGGGGTCCAACTCACCGCCCCGCGGAGCCCGACGGAGTCCAGGACCCAGATGGCCGCCATGCCAAACGGGATGGACACCACGAGGTAGACCAGCGACAGCCAGTTGATCTGCTCCATGGACAGGCCGAAGTGCTCGGCAGCAACGTCAGCCACAGGCGCGAAGCTGAGCCACAGCTGTGGGGCCCAGCGGGGTCAGCTCGGGGCCAGCAACCCGGGACCTACACGCTCTGGCCCAGCCAGCCCGAGGGGCACAGTGCCAGCAGGCCTGTGCGGGCCGAGGGGACACGGCCCAGCATGGACACAGGGCCTTCTTGCCAGGAAGGGCACCACCGTCTCCTCCAAGGGAGGGCCCCCAGCAGCAGGGTCAGAGAGCACATCCTCACCCAGGACCAGCCTGAGGAGCAGACACTGAGTCTACAGGACCACGAGCCCCACCCAGATCAGACCTGGGGCTCGAAGGCAGGGTCACCCCTAGAACTCTGGATTTCAGGCCGGCCCCACCCAAGGCCAGCCCGACCTCCCCTCCCACAAGGCCCGGGTGTTTGGGCAGGATGCTGCCAGAGCAGGCGCCGCTTTCCAGCCGCAGGGATTATCAAGCGCCAGGACTCTTCGCCCCACAGACATCCGGCATGCAGCACACGTGCACGCCAGGACAGGGGCTGCGCCTCCTGCCGGAGGTGAGACCGGCTCATCCCTGCGGGAGGCCGAAGTGGAGTGAGCCATGGGACTCACTACAGGAGGCAGAGGCTGTTTCCCTGAGTCCACCCTGGGGCCCAGCAGCCAAACCCAGGCTCCACCCGGAGAAGGTCTGACTCAGCCACAAGACGTGACAGGGAGCTTGGGCAACAGTCACTGTGTCTTCCTTTTTTCTCAGGACTAGCTCGCCAGGCCCAGCTGCTGCCTGCCTGGCTGGGCCCCAGTGAGAGAAAGACAGGCCTCCACTGACAAAGCCCACGCTGCGGAGCCAAGGCCCCACTCCAGCCTCAGCTCTGTCCTGGTTCCTTGGCCCACAGCTGCCTGGTTCAGCAGAGATGCATCTGAAGCACGCAGGGCAGCGTGGGAGGACTCCCTCCCTCCCCCGCCAGCCCTGGCCCCATCCACGCTCACCCCCGTGGGTCCCTTTGAGTCTTGTCCAGAGCACTGGGCGGCTGCCTTCTGTGGGGGTGGGGGTGTTAACCTGGGCTCTGCGCCAGCTGCCCCTTATGCTGCCCCCGGAACCCGAGAGCCCTGGTCACCGGCTGCACACGAGTAACCTTCAGCCTCAAGGGCACTTGGCCGGGGTGAACGTGGTTCACTGTGGTGACCCACACAGAGACCATGGCAACGGAGTCAGTGTGAGGTTTCTGTGTGTTCCATGATTGCTTGTAGATATTAATAAAATGGTGAAGAACTGCAGTAGGATGCCCTGACTGTCCCCCCTCAACATCCCCACCTAGGACACCGCCACCTGGGACACCCCCACCTGGGACACGCTCCTGGACACCCCCCCAGGACACCCCCACCCAGGTCACCCCCACCCAGGACACCCAGTGACTCTCAGACCTATGGAAGCTGTGCTGTGCCCTCGGACGCCTCACCACAGCAGGTGTGGCTTCCCCAGTGCTGGACACAGAGGCTGGGAACAGCCGCGGCAGTGGGTTACAGCTGGCGCAGGTGTCTGTGGGCAGCAGCAGCCCCCAGGCCCATGTGGCAGAGGCCAGGCCTGCCTCAGCCAGGGGCTGGCTCTTCATAGCCAGCCAGCAAAGCAAGAGGGGAGAGGCCCCAGACCCCCTGCAGGAGCCCTGACCCAGGCCTAAGAGCAGCTCCTGCCCTCCGCCCAACACCCGGCGCCTCCCTGAGCTGTGGGCTGCTGCCAACTCTAGCTGTTCATTGCACGTTGGGCGGGTGCTGCCCGACCAGTTCCAGAGCTTCCCGGGGAGGGCCGAGGACGGCACGGGGTGGGGGGGGGAGGAGGGCACAGGGGCGGGGGGAGGCCGGCCCAGGAACCGCCCCTCTGAGCCAGGGAGGGTCGGCCGCTCCGGGCCGCCTCTGCTCCCGCCCGCGGTCCCGGGCCGGGAGGGTGGACGGAGGCCGCCTCTCCTGGACCGGCCGGGACGAGGGACCCGGGCTCCGGCTGCAGCCACTGAAGGCCGGGGAAGGTCTGGGACTCTGCGACTGGCAGATCCCTGGGTCCAGCCACCCCCGGGACAGACGGACGGACAGCGCCCCCCGCGCCCGCGCCCCCCAGGAGAAGGCGCCACCCCCAGTCGGCACCTGCTCCGCGGGCAGGAAAGCGAACCCCCCGGTCCGCGGGGACCGGGGTTCGGGGCCCGCGCCTACCGTGGCGTTGGAGCAGCTGAGCAGGCCCACTGCCGCCAGGAACACCCAGCGGCGCGCGTAGGTGCGGGGGCCCCGCTGCGCCCCCGGCTCGGCCCCAGTCGGCTCCGCCATTGTCGCGGCTCCGCGGGTCCCGCCCGGCGCCCGGGCTTAAGGAGCTTCCCGCGTGGGGGTGGGGCCGGGCGGGGCCACGGAGCCAGCTCCGACCCGCGGACTAGGAAGAGGCTCCCGCCCCGTCCAGGGTAAAGGGGGCCCACAAGAGGGGCAGAGGTGAAGTTGGAGCCTCCTCCTGCCGCCCCAGGTGAAAGTCCCTGCCACAGAAACAGAATGTCCCTTCGGAAAGGGGCCCCGGTCACAGCCTGTGTGGTCCTCAGGGTGGGCGCAGCAAAGGGGGTTTGGAAGTCACTCTGCCCAGCAGAAGGTCTGCATTTCCTGACGGGGGCTGTGGACCCCAAATGCCTGAGGTTCCAGCAAGCCACAGGCGGCCGAGCCAGCCTGGGAGAGGAGGCTGGGTGCTTTCCACAGAGCCTCAAATCACACCAGCCCCTCAGTGCCCCTGTGGGAGGCAGAGGTGGGGGTAGGAGGGGCAAGGTGCGCTGCCCAAGAAGGAGGGAAGGCCAGGAAGGCCTGTGGGCACCACCCCGGGGTAGGAGGCCCCCCACATACATGATCTGCATTTTACAAGGGAGGACACAGCTGTCAGAGGAGTAGGCAGAGGTTTCTGTTTGTTTAGGATGGAGAGGCCTACAGGTGAGGAGGGAGTTTAGGCTCAGTCTTGTTGCGAGAGGCTGCTGACCCCACAACTGTGCCTGGCCCACCCTGGGGGAACTCAAGGGGCTCCAGCCCTGCTGCTGAGGCCAGTGTAGGGGTGCGGTGGAGGCTGGCCTGGCCAGAGGTACAAGCAGGATTCCCCAAACAAGGAAGCCCTCTTGACCCTGAAGCAGCCCTGTTTTCTGACACTCGCAATATTATTCCTTTTTCTTAAACATTCACCTACTTTGCCAGGTCCTGTCCATGGTCCACACCGGAGTCTGAACAGGCTGATTGTGAGGCCCCCACTTTTACTGTGGGGTCTTCTGCAGGGCTTGTGTGTGTGTCTCAGATAGAGCTGTCCACTTGGGAATTTTTTTTTGTAGAGTCCCGTCCAGTAAAGAAGAGAAAATGGGGCTCACCCAGGGGTGTCCTGAGATGGTTGGGCCCCAAGGGACTTCCACTCTCTGAGACGTGTGCTGGGGCCTGTGTCCTCACCCTTTATCTCCTCTGCCTTCCCCCCATCTGACCTCCCATTCATCTTTGTCCCCCATTCCCCAACAGTTCCTTCTGCCCTCCTCCTCACCTCCTGCTCACCCTGTCCTGATGACCTGGCCCCTCACAACCTTCCTCCACAGCCCACTGCCAGTGTTGGCCTGGGAACTTCCACATCCCCCCAGCCCCACCTGGCAGAGGGGGAGTTGCAATGCAGGCTTCCCTGTTGAGGGACCTTGCTTTTGTGGAACACTGCCTCTGACAGGTGGTGTCTGAGCCTGTCACCATGAAATGGGGCAGCCACAGTAGCTTCCTCCATCATCAAGTCTCTGTTGAGGATGCTTTTTTTTTTTTTTTTTTTTTAAAGATGGTGTTTCACCATGATGTCCAGGCTGGTCTTGAATTCCTGACCTCAGGTGATCCAGCCACCTCAGCCTCCCAAAGTGCTAGGATTACAGGTGTGAGCAACTTCGCCCGGCCGAGGACGAATTGTTGAAGGAGCTTCTCCTCCCTACATATCAGAGCTCTTGGGTCGATTAGGTGAGCTCAGCAAGGCTGCAAAATGCAAGATCAATACACACAGTCAATTGCACTGACATATACCAACAAAAAACATGAAAACCAAAATTAAAGACATTTATAATTACTCCAAGGGAAATAAAATACTTTGGTATAAACTTAGCAAACCATCTACAGAACTTGCACACTAAAAATTACATACTACGGCTGGACACAGTGACTCAGGCCTGTAATCCCAGCACTTTACGAGACCGAAGGGGGTGGATCACCTAAGGTCAGGAGTTCGAGACCAGCCCGGCCAACATGGTGAAACCATGTCTTTATAAAAATACAAAAAAATTAGCTGGGTGTAGTAGGTGCATGCCTGTAATCCCAGCTACTCGGGAGGCAGAGGCTGCAGTGAGCTGAGATCACAACACTGCATTCCAGCCTGAGCAACAGAGTGAGACTCTGTTTCAAAAAAAAAAAAATTACACACCATTAATGAAAGACATCAACAAAGACCTAAAGAAATGGAGAGACATACAATGTTCATGGATTGGAAAATTCAACATAGTAGCAGTGTCAGTTCTCCCTAAATTGATCTATACATTTAATTTAATTCCATCGAAAGGTTTTTGTACTCATAGACTGGGAAAAATATTTGCAAACCACATATCCAACAAAGGTCTAGTATTGAGAATATATAAAGAGCCCTCAACACTCAACAGTTTAAAAATCCAACTGGTAGCTGAGCATGGTGGCACATGCCTGTAGTCCTAGCTATTCGGGCGGCTGAGGCAGGAGAATTGCTTGAACCCAGGAGATAGAGGTTGCAGTGAGCTAAGATTGCACCACTGCACTCCAGCCTGGGCTACAGAGTGAGACTGCATCTCAAACAAAAAATATTGGATTAGAAAATTTTAATCTAATTTTCTAATGAAAATTAGAAAATACTCCTGACCTCAGGTGATCCACTCCTCTAGGTCTCGTAAAGTTCTGGGATTATAGGCGTGAGCCACCGTGCCCAGCCATGGTACGTAATTTTTAGCGTGCAGGTGCAGTAGATGGTTTGCTAAGTTTATACCAAAGTATTTTATTTTCCTTGGAGTAATTATAAATGTCTTTAATTTTGGTTTTCATGTTTAGACACGAAAATTTTCTAATCTAAGCTGCAGGGCGACTGCTCTGGTGGGTCGCAGCTGTAGGCTCAGCACTTTGAGAGGCCGAGGTGGGCAGATCACGAGATCAGGAGTTTGAGATCAGCCTGGCCAACATGGTGAAACCCCATCTCTACTAAAAATATAAAAATTAGCTGGGCATAGTGGCAGGCACCTGTAATCCCAGTGGCTGGGAAGGCTGAGACAGGAGAATCGCTTGAACCCGGGAGAAGGAAGTTGCAGTGAGCTGAGACAGAACCACTGCACTCCAGCCTGGGCGACAGAGCAAGACTCTGTTATGAAAAAAAAAAAGAGAGAATGTAATGTGTTACAGCCGCTGTGGAAAACAGGTTGGCAGTTTCTTATACATGCAAGAGCGAGACTTCATCTCAAAAAAAAAGTTTACTTTTTAAAAAATCACATAGTATCAGCCCATTCATTTGGAAACAGTGACTTTTTCCACTCTCACATCTAATGAAACAGTTTTGTTTAAATTCTCCACAAGCACCTTCAGCACACTGGTCTAAGCTGCCTGAGTTTTCGATCTGGGTCTGGCACCATCCCGGGATCCTCACCCTGAGCCCAGAATTGCCTGTGAGCCTTGAGATGGTGACCTCCACACAAAGGCACCCCATATCTTGCTTTTCAAAAGGATCTTCGACCGAGTTTGGGGACTCATGCCTGTAATCCCAGCCAGCACTCTGGGAGGCTGAGGTGGGCTGATCATCTGAGGTTGGGAGTTCAAGACCAGCCTGGCCAACATGGTGAAACCCATGTTATCTCTTCAAAAAATACAATATAAAAAAAATTAGCCAGGTGGTGTGGCACATGCCTGTAGGCCCAGCTACTCAGAAGGCTGAGGCAAGAGAATTGCTTGAACTCGGGAGGCAGAGGTTGCAGTGAGCCAAGATCGCACCACTGCACTCCAGGCTGGGCGATGGAAAGAGTCTCTGTCTCAAAACAAAAAAAAGAGAAATAAAGAAAAGGATTGGCCAGGTGCGGTGGCTCACACCTGTAATCCTAGCACTTTGGGATGCTGAGGTGGGTGGATCACCTGAGGTCAGGAGTTCAAGACCAGCCTGCTCATCATGGTGAAATCCCATCTTTAAAAAGAATAAAATAAATAGGCCGGGCGTGGTGGCTCATGCCTGTAATCCAAGCACTTTGGAGGCCAAGGTGGGTGGATCACCTGAGGTTGGGAGCTCAAGACCAGCTTGAGCAACATGGTGAAACCCGGTCTTTTTTTAAAAAAATAAATAAAAATAAAAATAAAATAAAATAAATAAAAATAAAAAAGAAAAGGATCTTCAAAAGCTTATTTACATAATGTTTAACATACACAGTTATGGCTAAATTTGCATTTCAATGTTGTCTCTCTTCTTTCAACCCCCTGTAGACTTCTGTCAGCATCCCAGACTAGCATTCATTAATTTCGGGCTAATGTGTCTTCTCTAAACAATATCTTGTTCAAAATCAAGCCACTGAAAACAACTGCTCTGCCAAGACTGGAGGATCAGCCAGGCCACCTTTTCAGAGGCTTTCGGGGAGGGAGTTTCACCTGCAGCGCTGAGTCGGCCTGGCCTCTCCAGCCGCTCCTCTGTTTGGTTTATGTGCCCCTCCCAGAGAACCCCGAAGCCCAGGGTGAAGGATCGCCCTGCACAGCTTCAGGGTAAAAACAGAACCAGTGGGCCGTGTGGCCTCTCAGCTAGGGCTCCTCCACAAGAAAAGAGCCTGCCAGACAAGTTCCTCGGCTGGGTGCCATTTGCCATACGGAGCCTCCTGGACCTGCCCGGTTCCCGGTGTACCCGCCTCATCTCCACATGCCCGAGTGCCATCACTCCCACCTGTCTCTGTGCCTCCTCAGGACCCGACCTGAAGGCCCGGTTGGGACGTGCACACCCAGACCTGGAGGCACGGGCTGCCCCAAGGCAACGCTGTGACTGCATCCTCAAGCATGTGGATGGACCATCGCTTCACAGAGGTGTGCGCTGGAAAATGAGCCTGCTGATTTACTTACACAAGGGAGGGCTCTGTCCACCGCCAGGCCACTGCCATTCCAGTCAGCCCACCAGAGAGGAGCCCTCCGGGTCCTCCTCCTCTCCTCCCTGTGCAGCGTGGGGCTTCTGTGAGCCCTGAGGTCAGGGCACCTTGAATCTGAGCCCAGGGGCCCCTCCTGCCTCTCCTCCACAGAGGATTTGGTGTAAGTGGTTGAAGGAGCTGGTGTTCTCCTGCGTGTGTAAATGAAAATTAAAAT